CCTCACTCATTATCCTCTGCACTATGAATGACATGTTCGAAGAAACAGTCGAATTAGCGAGACAACATCGTACGAAACAACATATCAAAGTCCTGCGGAAGTACTGGCAGACTAGAGTGCTGCGGAACCACTGACATTTTTCGGAACTTCCGCAGGGATTTGTGAAAGTTCCTGCGGAGGTTCCCATTTTTGACCACGTGAAAATCCTGCAAAAGTTCTCAATTTCAACGTTTTCACTTTTGCAATAGTAAGCGAAGTCCTGCTTAACTTCTGCAAATCTGACTTGTCCTGCGGAAGTTCCTGTGAATTGTCTGAGATTATGCTCTGATTTCATTCTACTTCCTAAAGCAGATTATTTCGAGGATTAGATATGCAAAAAAGCGAACATCCTCATCCGAGAGATTTTCCCTTTTTGCTGTTTTTTCTTCTAGCAACCAATGATGTACAAAAAAATTGTCTGATTTCATTCTGTGCGCCTCAGCTCCCCGTCCACTTCCGCAGAAAACTCGACAAGGATGTTTTTTTGTAATTTGTCTGTTCCGCAGGAGAACACCCACTCGCAATTCCGCATTGTTTATGCATTGCTCGACGTTTATTTGCTTAAGATGGTAACGATACTTGCGCGAAAAGTTCCAGACAAGAATGGGAAATCACTAATCGTTTCCTCGGGTTATTTACTGAGAAAACAGCCGGAGTAGTAGTCTCGTAGAGCATTTAGTACTGAATTATTCAACGAAATGGGATATGCTAGGCTCACCTCTTTGCGAAAGCGAATCGGGCTCGTTTCTCGACTTCGCTCTCATCCTCTTCGTCGGATCTCTTAGCAAATGCAAATTGTCTGTATGGGGATCGCTTGGCAAATGCGAATGACCTCACTCGTTTGTCTGCCGATAGTTCGTCTTCCATCTGGAATTTTATTGAAGGATTTGTGGTCGTATGAAATGCCCAAAAACATGGTCCACATACCTGTTGAGCTAGGAGCAATGTGGCCAGAGTGCATGCAAGCGCTACTGTGAACATGGTGTGCATTTTTGTGGGTACCCTGTAAACACTAAAAAATTCTTATAAAATCGTTCAGCTGAGGATGTGAAAGGAGAAAGATTGAACGCAAAATAACGAAGCACAACGAGATCAGATGGCCAAGACGAAGAGAGGATTTGTAGGGAAATTGTCATTAATTGCCGTAAAAGAAAGACTGGAAAAGCTAGAAATTGCCAGTTGAGAATCTTTTGAAATTTTTAAGCAGCGTTAGCCAAAAATAGGCGTAAAAG